TAACATCTCGAGCCGGGCTTGGTGGCTCAGCCTGTAATCCCGCGCCTTTGGGAGGCTGAGATGAGTAGATTGCCTGAGCCCGCGGGTTCAAGACCCGCCTGGGAAACTTGGCGAGACCTCATCTCTACAATAAATCAAAAAATTAGCCGGGTGTGGTAGCGCGCGCCTGTAATTCCAGCTACTTGGAAGGCTGATGCGGAAGGATCGCTGGAGCCCAGCAGGCAAGGCTGCAGTGGCCAGGAGCGGCCACTGCACTCCAGTCTAAGCGACAGAGTGAGACTCCAACTCAAAAAAAAAAAAAAAACATCTCGCGCTCTTCTTTTCATCAGTTACTTTTGGTAAACCTCACTGGTCACCACTAGAGAATGATAAACCAGTTCATTATTTTCAAAACTGATAAAGAGAACAAAACCAACTGTATTTATCCATGTCACAAGCAAAATGGGTAGCCAAATAGTACATGAGGAAAAGTTTCTCTTCATACAAATATCCCAGCTAATATGATAGAATGTTACCATATGGCAAACCTAGTAATCAATAAATCTAGGCATCAAGTATTACGGTTGCTGACATTCCAAGATGTCAACCAGACATTAGCTGCTTCTTGATGGAAGAACCAGTTATCACCTATGAAGTAGTCTCCCAAAACAAACAAATAAACCTGAATACAAAAAGCCTCTAGATCTAACTACTAACCTACTGGACAAACAAAGGACTATATATATTACAGGTATGTAATCAGAACAATCTAGTTTCTACAACAAAAACTTAGAGACAAACTATATACTGGCCCACAGATCCTGTTTCAAATAAACTGCTAGACACAAATCATGACACAACTGGAAACCTGAGCACTTACTTAATATTTGTATGATATTAAGGAATTATTATTTTAGGTATAATAAGGACGCTTTTAAAAATTATAACAATAATACTATCTTCTTTGTATCAAAAAGTATTTTTTAAAAATACTGTCAGAGGCCAGACGTAATGGTTTACATCTGTAATCCTAGCACTTTAGGAGGCTGAAGCGAGAAGACTGCTTGAGACCAGAAGTTCAAGACCAACCTGAGGAACATAATAAGACCTCATTTCTAAAAAAAATTAAAAATAAGCCTTGCAGCCGGGCTTGGTGGCTCAGCCTGTAATCCCGCGCCTTTGGGAGGCTGAGGTGAGTGGATTGCCTGAGCCCGCGGGTTCGAGACCCGCCTGGGCAGCGAGACCTCATCTCTACAATAAATCAAAAAATTAACTGGGCGTGGTAGCAAGCGCCTGTAATTCCGGCTACTTGGAAGGCTGAGGCGGAAGGATCGCCAGAGCCCAGCAGGTCGAGGTTGCGGTGGCCGGGAGCGGCCACTGCACTCCAGTCTGGGCGACAGAGTGAGACTCCAACTCAAAAAAAAATAAGCCTTGCATAGTCGTGTGCACCTGTAGCTCCAGCTACTAGGGAAGCTGAGGAGGCAGTGACCCATAAGCGTGCCACTGCACTCCAGTCTGGGCAATAGGGTGAGATCACAACTCAAAAAGGAAATTAAAAAAAAAAAATATATATATATATATATAATTATATAATATACCCCAAAGCTGAGACTCAACTGGTGATCTTTCCCGATATTAGAGTGGAGGGCTACCAATACAAATGAGTTACAAGAAAAGATAAATCTCCCTTTCCCAGAAATATATTCTTTAAAAATAAATGTCTCACTGGAAGGTGTGGGGAAAGAGACATTATGCTACCTCAGTTTCCTCATCTTACCAACAGCAAATTGATACAAAATGACAGTGACCAAAAACCATCATCCAGCAGTTCCCAGCACCTATGTCAACACACAAGAAAATAATCACACTTAGCACTAGATCATGACCTCAAATTCTAGCTATCACAAACTACTGCCCAGCTAGAAGCCCTTCTGAAGCAGCATTTTTCTAGGAGAGCTAGGAATGTCCAATTGAAAAGTACAACAATTATGATAAATTTTGTAAGTAAGTCTAAATAAAACATAACTGTTATTTTGCATCTATTTTGTATCTTTCAAAAGGGAAAACCAAAAATTGACTCTAAAAAGCTAATAAAATGCATTTGAGAGTGTTACTCACTAAATTCTCCAAGTAACCCAATATCTAAGCTCTATGCACCATGAAATTTAGGATGAGGGTTTAATGGATCTTGTGTAACAACTTTACTGGTTCCTCAAACTCAAAAATCTCAAACTTGGCTGGCATGGTGGCTCAAGCCTGTAATCTCAGCACTTTGGGAGGCTGAGACGAGAGGACTGCCAGAGTCGAGGGGTTCGAGATCAGCCTGGGAAACTTGGTGAGACCTTGTCTCTACAATAAATAAATAAAAAAATTAGCTGGGTGTGGTGGTGCATGCCTGTGGTTCCAGCTACTTGGAAGGTTGAGATGGAAGGATCAACTGAGCCTAGCACGTCGAGGTTGAAGTGGTCGTAAGAAATGCCACTGCACTCCAGCCCCTGGGCGAGAGTGAGACTCCAACTCAAAAAAAGAAAAAAAATCTCAAACTCTGCTTACATTTCTCATTAGTTCTACAGGATAATAATTATACTAAGATGTCTTTTCAAGAAACAGGAGAAAAAAGAAATATATAGATAACTATTAACACCCAACAACTCAGAGAGAAGGAAAGTAAGTCTTAAGTCAGTAATTTTATCAAAATTACACTAACCTTGAACAGTCATTTCTTTAAAGAGACTTAATGACTCAAGAGTAATGCTTTCAAGGGTTGAGTAGAACATGCGTTCACTGTTATCAGTGCACAAAACTCTGCAGACCCCCTAAAGGGGGTCTCCTCAGCACCTGGGTATACTGGGTTTTGTGCATCTGATCATGGCAGACTTTGCTCTTAAACCACTGCTCGTGAATATTTAAACCGAGAAGTGTTCGGTGAGCACTTAAGAAAACAATCCATGCTTTAGGTGTTCCAACGCCTTCTTGGTAATATCAGCTTACACCATATACTTAATATATAAGTCTGAAATTATTGTATTCCCATTGATACACAAGGAAATAAAGTAAGGGATATGCTGAATTATTTCAGTAAGCTCACAGAGTGATCAAGTCATCAGTATTTAAAAAACAAAACACAGGCCGGGCACAATGGCTCTCACCTGTAATCCTAGCACTTTGGGAGATCGAGGTGGGAGGATCATTTGAGCCTACGAGTTCAAGACTAGCCTGGGCAATATAGTGAATTTTTTTGCCTTGACAAAAAAAATTAGTCAGGTGTGTTGGCACACACTTGTAGCCCCAACTACTAGAGAGGCTGAGGCAGAAGGATAGCCTGATCCCAGATCAAGGCTGTGGTGAGCTGTGACTGTGCAGTGGCACAGCCTGGGTGACAGAGTGAGGCCCCCCAGTTCAAAAAAATAAAAAACAAAATGCAAATGCTGTTCTAGTTTAAATGTGACTGACCATTTACTTGTGTCCTTCCACCTGTGCAGTCCATCCCAGCCTGTCCAATCCCACTGTTCCCACCCATCCACTGGTACATGTCATCCTTCCCCATCCTTACTAGCCACTCCTCAACCCCTTACTGATGCTGATATATTATGGCATCAGGCACTGTGCTGAATACATAAATGACCGAGACATCCGAGCTTAATACCTAGAGGAGGTATATTTGTACCTTACCACGAGCCAGGCAGTTTCAAGATTAGTACAAATGTTTTCACAGACTCTTCCAGTGAAGACATATTTCCCAAAATTAAATACAATAGGTTTGTAATTTTTAAGTATGAACAATTAGTAACAGAACAGAGATCACCTAAATTTAAATTCTTTTTACTAAGGTTTTCATATGCAGGGTAAGTTTTTTGGGTTTTTTTGAGTCGGAGTCCCACTCCATTGCCCAGGCTGGAGTGCAGTGGCATGCTTCCGGCCACCACAGCCTCGACCCACTGGGATCCGGCGATCCTTCCACCCCAGCCTTCCAAGCAGCTGGAACTACAGGCACATGCTACCATGCCTGGTTAATTTTTGATTTATTGTAGAGACGAGGTCTCACCAAATTGCCTGGATGGGTCTTGAACTCAAGGGCTCAGGCAATCCACTCTCCTTGGCCTCCCAAAGAGCTGGGGTTACAGGCTGAGCCACCAAGCCTGGCCTAGGGCAAGTTTTAAAGACATGGTAACCTCTGCCATTCTTATCTATCTATAAAATCACATTTCCTAGTTTAATTTCACATTCAAAGTGGGTAAGTGTATTGTTATACTATGCAGAATCGATATCTAGAATTATATACCTGCCTTAATAATAATTCAAATTTAAGACCCCCCTACCTATCTATAATATTTTTAAAAATAAACCAGAATTAAGCCATATAGATTTAAACACCCTGTAAGGAAAACAAAATACACTTCATTTTACTATGAATCTTTGATAACCAAGCAGCTCATGAGTATGTGTCAACAACAATGAAAATGGTGGCCAGGGCTGGTAGTTCATGCCTGTAATCTCAGCACTTTGGGATGCTGGGTCCAGAGGATTGCTTGAGCCCAGAAGTTTGAAACAAGCCTGGACAATATAGCTAGACCCTGTCTCTATTTTAAAATTTTAAAAATAGCCAAGTTCAGTGGCTCATGTCCATAATCCCAGCACTTTGGGAGACAGAGGCAAGAAGACTGCCTGAGCCCAGGGGTTTGAGACCAGCCCAGGCAACTTGGCAAGACTGCGTCTCTACAATAAATAAAAAAAGTAGCAGGACGTGGTAGCTTGTGCCTGTAGTTCCAGCTAGCTGGAAGGCTGAGGCGGAAGGATCACCTGAACCCAGCAGGAAGAGGCTGTGGTGGCCATGAGCATGCCACTGCACTCAGCCTGGATGACAGAGTGAGACTCTGACTCTAAAAATAAAATAATAAAATTAAATTAAGTTAAATTAAAATAAAATAAAATAAAAACCTAGTAAACACTAGAAACATTTAGAGGCCATCGTACAGCAGAGGCATGGGGGAGATCTCCACCACAAATGACATCACACCTACCGTAGTGTCGTTGCTGGTAACATAAACCAGGACATCGGAGGAATTCCTGCCATTGATGTATCGGTAGCAATTCCAAACACAGCTTATCAAGTAACCCTGCAAGTAAGCAGTGATTGGTAGATTTGTAGTTTTCAAATTGCAGATGATTTTTAATACCACACAGGAAAAAGCTATGTTGTACAACTTTATGTAAGCTATAAAAGCACATGCTAACTCTACTAAACCAAAAGTCTTTAAAATTACAAATGCTGGGTAGGGTAATTTTTTGGCAAAGAATGTTACTGAAGCCATATTCCATGGGGGGTAAGGTGGGGTGGTGGGGGTGGTAATGGTGGTAGGTGAAAGAGGGGAGACAATGGGCTGAAAGTAGAATGAGAAATTTCTGAGAAGTGGTTGGAAGGAACAGTCTCCACTAACATTTACTGCCCCAACTTCACAGAACAATTAATCCATCTATTGCCATCATTTAACTGTTGCATTGGGAATTTTTATGCTACATGATTACCTGTAATTTTATTAGACACACCGGTTTTTTTAAAGAAAGGTTTGCAGCATATAAATATACCTCACAGTCAATAAAATTTACTAAAACACTTCTATTTTATTCATGAAATATCCAAAGGATTCACTTAAAAATTAATGTCTAGGACAAAGACATCCTAGAAATAAAGCATGGGTTCAAGAGAGAAGTTAAGATACAAACTCTGTACTTTCATTCCAATCATCTATAATTGGATTAGAACTAAATAGTTTCACAATCTCTAGTTTTCAAATTCTTTGACTAAAAGAACTTTAAACATATGGAGAAACAAGATTGCTGAAAGCAGGAAATACACTTCTGATGAAAATGTAAAATGGTTCCATCACTGAGACAGAAAGCAGATTAGTGATTGCCAAGGAGAGAGAGTATGGTAAGAGTGAATGGCAAGTGATCAAAGGATTCTAAAATTAGATTGCACAGGTCAGGCATGGTGGCTCATGCCTACAATCCCAGTACTGGGAGGTCCAGGCGGATCACTTGAGCCCAGGAGTTCCAGACCAGTCTAGTCAACTTAGCGAGAGCTCCTCTCTACAAAAATAAATGAATAAACAGATAAAATTAGCTGGATGTGGTGGCGCATGCCTATAGTCCCAGCTACTCGGGAAGCTGAGGCAAAAGAATCACTTGAGCCCATGACATCAAGGATGTGGTGAGCTGTGATTGTGCCACTAAATTCCAGCCTGGATGACAGAGTGAGATCCTGATGCAAAAAAAAAAAAAATTAGATTGTGTAACCACCGAGTTAAGATTGTACAACTCCGTGAATGTACTAAAAACCACTGACTTGTACCCTTTAAATGGGTGATTATATCTCAATACATCTGATTTACAAAAAAGAAGACATTTAAAGACGAAAACGGTAAAATATTCTGTCATATACTCAGAACTTGTCTTAAAGCTGCATTCGCACTTGACAAGGATTATTTCTTATATTTAATTTGTGTGATGTTGTTAAAATGAAAATGTATTCCATGAATGGTAATAATCCGAAACCATGAATCAACAATGAGAAAGAAAAAAGAGTAAAGGGCATTGGGTTGTCTTTTTTTTTTGGACAACGTACACAATATATTTTATTAACTAACACTTTCAGTTTTGTCAAATGTTACTACTTCTTTATGGGGAGTGGAGGGAATCCCTACGCTTTTTAAGAATTTTCATACAAATGAAAAAGAAATGCTTGAACATACTAGCACTCCTCCATTATTTTAGCAGTGAATGGTGGATTCCTACTGAATACAAGAACTCCTTCAGGAAGGAGGTATTTGAGGTAACAAATCTATACCTGAGAGGCTATGCAGTCCACAAACAGGCAGTGCCTGGTGTCTGGGACTCCACAAGCCCACAGGCAGCCATTTCAGTGGCCCTTATGAGGGAGGCCACACACATTCACTTGCTGCACACTCCATCGCAAGAAAAGCCTTTGGTCTAAAAGACTCCTGAGTAGCTAGGACTACAGGCGTGTGCCACCACATCTAGTTTAGACTCAAGTGATTTTCAGTGAATCATTTCCATTCTACTTATCTTCATCATTCTGTAGTACCTATATGACTTTTCTTCCTAGATGCTTATGAAGGCTTGATTTTTGAAGAATGAGTTAATTTTATGCCAAAACAAAGGCAATGAAGGTACTGAGAATTATAAGTTCAAAGAGTAAAGAATCATGGGGATGTTCTTTCTACCTATAGTAGCTTACAAGCACAAGTTATAATGATATTTTTATAAACAGACTGACAAAGCTAAAAAAGAATAGATAGCACTGGGCACTGTGGCTCATGCCTGTAATCCCAGCACATTGGGAGGCTGAGGTGAGAGGACTGCTTGAACCCAGGAGTTCAAGGCCTGCCTAGACAACATAGCCAGACTTAATCACTACAAAAAAAAAAATTAACCAGGGATAGTGGTGCACACCTGTAATCCCAGCTACTTGGTAGGCTGAGGTGGAAGAATTGGGTGAGCCTAGGAGGTCGAGGCTGCAGTGAGCTGTGATTGTGCACTGCACTCTAGTCTGGGCAAAAGAGTGAGACTTTGGGAAAAAAAATAGTACTTGACTGATAAGAGTAAGGAGGCACTGCTGATAGGCATAGAAGTTGTTTAAGGCCAGGCTCGGTGGCTCAGCCTGTAATCCCAGCACTTTGGGAGGTCGAGGTGAGTGGACTGCCTAAGCCCATGGGTTCGAGATATGCCTGGGTAACTTGGTGAGACCTCATCTCTACAATAAATCAAAAATTAGCCAGGTGTGATAGCGCGTATCTGTAGTTCCAGCTACTTGGAAGGCTGAGGCAGAAGGACCGCCAGAGCCCAGCAGGCCGAGACTGTGGTGGCCGGGAGCGGCCACGGCACTCCAGTCTGGGCGAAAGAGTGAGACTCCAACTCAAAGAAAAGGAAAAAAAAGTTTAATTTGACAATCTACCAAAGGTCTTCAAACTATGCATCCCTCTGAACTTAGAAATTGATAAGCAAGGCACTGCTAAGATATGTGGCCCATGTCTGTAATCCCAACACTTTGGGAGGTCAAGGTAAGAGGATTGCTTGTGCCCAAGGGTTCGAGACCAGCCAGGGCAACTCGGTGAGACCTCATCTCTACAATAAATAAAAAACTTAGCCGGGCATGGTGGCATGCGCCTGTAGTTCCAGCTACTTGGAATGCTGAGGTGGAAGGATGACCTCAGCCCAGCAGGTTGAGGCTGCAGTGGCCAACAGCGTGCCACTGCACTCCAGCCTGGATGACCAAGTGAGATTCCAACTTAAGAAAAAAACAAAGAAGTGTATAGAGAAATTAAAGGTATAAACATAAAAGGATGTGCCTAAATAGTTTCATTATAGCACTCTTAATAAGCAAAAAAAAAAGAATGCTGCCTCAATGTCCAATAGGTAATTTATTAAGCAATATTCATATAATGGATTGATATAGAACAATGCTCAGAATGTTACATTTTAAAATAGAATTATGAAAGAATGCCCATTACATATTGTAATGGATGCTGCAGTATTGTAATATATACTATATAATGTGTAACATTATATTAACTCATTCCCCTCCAAATATATTTTCGAATCTTTGGCTGCCTGTGGGATTTTGAAGGAACTGTAACATTAAGAAATCAAAAAGCTGCTCAGATATCTAAAGCAAGACAATAAATTTACCAAAGTTTGTTTACTTCTTTGGTATTCAGAAGTACACTTAACAATATTCATATCATAAATAAAATCTTCATGCTTACCTTAAACGTCAAGATAATGCTAATAAACAGAAGAATAATAAGGACCAAACAGGTAGGATTCACCGACATGATGTCATCTCTGTAGGGAAAATTAGGAGGCTGCAAAAGAAAAGGGGCTCATTAGCGAATATCACTGATCACTCAAGACTATAATCCTCAGGCAGCAATTTAGATGCGTTTATCAGAAAGCATCTGGTTAGCCAGGCTCGGTGGCTCAGTCTGTAATCCCGCGCTTTGGGAGGCTGAGGTGAGTGGATTGCCTGAGCCCGTGGGTTCGAGACCCGCCTGGGCAACTTGGCGAGACATCATCTCTACATTAAATTAAAAAACTAGCCGGGCGTGGTAGTGCGCGCCTGTAGTTCCAGCTACTTGGAAGGCTTGTGAAAGGATCACCGGAGCCCAGCAGGTCAAGGCTGCAGTGGCCAGGAGCAGCCCTGCACTCCAGTCTGGGCGACAGAGTGAGACTCCAACTCAAAAAAAAGAAAGCATCTGGTTAAAGCAGACAGCTATTGCTATATTTAGGACCAGTACAAAATGACACAAACAGAGTTGTGGGGAGAAGCCTGTCTGTTCATAATTCATGCAGTAACTCCTGAAAACAAATATCAAGCCAGAATCACAAGCAGGACTTGAAAGCGTAACTGCCTTCCTACTACATAGAAGTTAGAAGTCAGTGGTGTGTACCCAGAATTTTGTGTCCAGGGAGCTCTGATAGTTGGATTTTCTGCACATTCTGAACTAGTGTTTTCTTATACTAGCAAGCATTTACAACATCAAAAAAAAAGTTAAGTCCATCTGACAAAACTGATTAACTACCAGGTCAAAGGAACCCTTCTGAGGAGGATCAAAGTCTGCTGCCTACAGCAGACTTAGGGTGGCAGGGCTTCCCCATGCATCATCACCCATGCGACACTGACCAAGACTGCTAGCCTCGGCAAGTGCACGGAAGGCAGCCTGGTGGGCTGTGGCTCTGGGCATTTCTTCCCCACCACTCAGTACTATGTGTTTGGGTTCCACATGAGCAATATTCTGAGACATCATGAAGTTTTAAACGCTAAGAAAGAATATGAAGAAATCCTGTGACTCATGTATTCCACAGGGGGAACGCCAGGTAATGGTTTCCAGAGTCTCCTTTCACTTTGGGCAAAATATCCAAGAAATAAAATCAAAGTCATTCTTTGTGATCAGCTCATACAACTGGTCCTTTCCTTTGAAGCCTGGAAGATTTTTTTTGTTGTTGTTGTGCTGATCTTAAAGGGTAGGAATAAAATAACAAAAAAATCATATTGTTCCTATGTCTATTTTTTTAAAGATAGGGTGCCACTCTGCTCAGGCTGGAATATAGTGGTGGGATCATGGCTCTCTGTAACCTTGAAGCCTGGGCTCAGGTGATCCTCCCACTACAGCCTTCCAAGCTAGGACTATAGTCACGCACCACCACTTCCTACCGGTTTTAAAAATTTTTTGTAGAGATAGGGTCTTGCTATGTTACCCAGAATGGTCTTGAACTCCAGACCTCAAGAGATCCTTCCTGCCTTGGCCTCCCAAAGTTCTGGGATGACAGGCCACTGTGCCCAACCTCCTATGTCAAATGTTTAAAAAGGGATTCAGGCCAGGCATGGTGGCTCAAGCCTGTAATCCCAGCACTTTGGGAGGCCAAGGCAAAAGAATTGCCTAAGTTCAGGGGTTCGAGACCAGTCTGGGCAACTTGGTGAAATCTCGTCTCTACAATAAATAAAAAAATAAGTCAGGTGTTGCAGTGTGCGCCTGTAGTTCCAGCTACTTGGAAGACAGAGGCAGAAGGATCACCTAAGCCCAGCAGGTCGAGGCTGTGGTGGCCGTGAGCATGCCACTGCACTCCAGCCTGGGCGACAGAGTGAGACTCTGACTCAAAATAAATAATAGGTAAAATAGAGAAGGATTCAAGTGGAAAGTATGTAACCCTTTCCACGAATATCTTTATACTCTTTTCCCCCAGAAAAGTGAATGTGGTTGTATACACAGTTAATATCAATCAAAAGCTATGCAGACCTCATTTTAACTGTGTTTTAAGAATCCACATGAGAAGGTAATAGAACAAGCATGAGGCTTAAGCAGGAGTCCTCCTCCAGCCTTCTCAGATAAGGTCTCTCCAGACTCACTACATCTCCATCTGTCAGCTGAGTGGAGTTCCAACACTCCCATCCATCACTGTCTCTCAGGTGTTGTGAGAACCTGCAGGCCTCAGTCTTTCGGCCCAGAGTGATCTTTACGTAGACCACACAGAAAATGCGCATCTGTATTATTTGGTTTGTAATTACAAATAGGAATGAATGGTGATTTTTTTAAACTGACACTGTCATCACTCTTAGCATCACCAATAAGATCATTATATCACTGGTGGCTCTAAAGCAAATGAGGACAGATATGGAACCATGTGAAGCAGAACAGAAAGTCTAGGCAGCATGCCCAGGGCTCTCCGTGCTTGACTCACATGTTAGGCCTTATGCTCCTAGAAGTCTCTGCAGTACGTAGACTGCAGCACACAAGATGCTATTCAGACAGTCATAGGGCTGCCGTATAGTTTGTCTTCATGTCTCCATAATCACCCCCACCCTGTGCCAGTCCCCTCCTACCCCTCACATGACTGGCTATGCTAAAATCACATTTCCTTTCCCTTCCAGCAGGATTCTAGGAGCCCAACACTGGACCACCAATACAGAAAAAAACCACGAGTCTGTAAACACATACGGAATTCTACAACCTTCTCATCATACATAAAACCCCTTGTGCAGAAACATTTAGCTATCCCACAAGAGATAATATACAAAATTAGCGCATGAGAAAGATACAAAAATATTCTTAGGCCAGGCCCAGTAGCTCATGCCTGTAATTCCTGCTACTGAGGAGACTGAGATGGGAGGATGGGCTTGAGGCCGGGAGTTCAAGATCAGCCTGGGTAATAAAATATCTACAAAAAAATTTTTTTAATTAGTTGGGTATGATGACGAGTCCCTGTATCTCCAACTAGCTAGGCGGCTTAGGTGGGAGGATCACCTGAGTACGGGAGTTTGAAGTTGCAGTGAGCTAGGATCGCATTACTGCACTCCAGCCTGGATGACAAGTCAATACCTTATCTCCACTCCCTCAAAAAAATTCTTGATGCTACATTCTACCAAATGTACTTTCTAAAACAAATACACCTACTTGCTAAAACACAGAAGCTATTACTAACAAAAATGACAACCACAACAATGACAATATAGATACTTTTTTTGTTTTGAGTTGGAGCCTCACTCTGTTGCCCAAGCTGGAGTCCAGTGGCATGCTCACAGCCACAGCAGCCCCGACCTGCTGGGCTCAAGCGATCCTTCCACTTCAGCCTTCCAAGTAGCTGGAACTGCAGGTGTGTGCCACTATGCCTGGCTTTTTTTGTTTTAATTGTAGAGACGAGGTCTGCCAAGTTGCCTGGGCTGGTCTCGAACCCCTGGGCTCAGGCAATCCTCTCACCACAGCTTCCCAAAGTGCTGGGATTACAGGTGTGAGTCACCACACCTGGCCAACAACTTTTAAGGAGCAAAATGCCAGAAGCCTTTTGTGTTCCACCCACTGAGTACCAGTTATGTGCTCTGGGCATGACTGTAATTGAGATCACAAACTCTTGCTGCCCCATTTCCCTCCAGCCCTCATCTCTCCTGAACCGCTGGTCCCGTCTGTCACACCAGATCCTGCAGCCTCATCTCTCCCATCCCAGAAAAACCCTGCTCCTCCCCTCACACTCAGAAACTCCTACTACTATTAAAACCTCCAAAGGCCGAACATTCTCTCCATTCAAACCATTTTGAAATTCTAAAGAAATTAAATATTGAGGCACATTTGCAATTTAAAAAACAAAGTTTAAAAAATGTGATGGTACAAATTCCAATCTCATAATCGCTATAAGCTTCTTAATATTCAGCCACTAATATTCACCCATATGGTCACAAAGGACATTTAGCCAAAAGCTAGCCCCAAAATGATGCTTGGGGGAGAGTGGGCTCCAATGGTCAATTAAGTTTGTAAACCACTGTAGAGCAGAGTTCTCCCTTTCCCACACAATGGCAGAGGCCAAAGCTATTTCTTACAAACTGGATTTTACAACCTAGGACTAACAATAACTAGACTATAATTTAGGAAGGCAACATGGAACACCATTGCTGACACCAACTTATCGCTCTCTGGCTCAGGAAGGTTATAACTTCCCAAAAGAGGTGTTTCTTTTGTTTTGTTTTGTTTTTTTTAAAAGAAACAAGGTCAACAAAAACAAAAATAAAAATAAAGAGACACGGTCTTGCTCTGTCACCCAGGCTGGAGTGCAATGGCAAGATCATAACTCATTACAGCCTCCAATTCCTGGGTTCAAGTGATCCTCTCCCTCTGCCTTCCAAGTAGCTGAGACTACAGACCCATAAAACCATGCCCAACTAAATGTGTTTATTTTGGTAGAGGTGAGGTTTCACTATGTTGAGCAAGTGGGTCTTTAACTCCCGGCCTCAAGCGATCTTCCCGCCTCAGATTCCCAAAGTGCTCGTATTACAGGCATGAGCTGAGGTACCCAGTTCCCAAAAAGTATTCCAAGAATCCAAAAACTCTGTCTTTAAGATTATATTCACTCAGTGGCTCAGCCTATAATCCCAGCACTTTCAGAGGCCAAGGCGAGTAGACTGCCTGAGCTCAAGGGTTCGAGACCAGCCCAGGCAACTTATCGAGGCAACTTGTCTCTACAATAATCAAAAAAAAAAATTATCTGGGCATGGTAGCATGCCTATAGTTCCAGCTACTTGGAAGGTTGAAACAGAAGGAGCACTGGAGCCCAGCGGGCTGACGCTGGAATGGCCATTAGTAGGCCACTCTACTCCAGCCTGGGTGACAGAGTGAGACTCCAACTCAAAAAAAAAAGATTATATTCAGTCACGCTCAGTGGTTGATGTCTGTAATTCCAGCACTTTGGGAGGCAGAGGCCAGAGGATTGCCGGAGTTCAGGGGTTTTGAGAACAGCCTGCCCAACTTGGCGAGGTGCCGTCTCCATAATAAATCAAAAATTTAGCTGGGCATGTGGCGCGTGTCTGTGGTTCCACCTATTTGGAAGGCTGAGGCAGAAGGATTGGCTGACTCCAGCAGGCCGAGGCTGTGGTGGCTGTGAGCATGCCACAGCACTCCAGCCTGGTGACAGAGTGAGACTCTGACTCAAATTTTAAAAAAAAGATTATATTCAAAAATCTCTGATTAGTAACTCAGATGCATGCTAAAAATTCACAAATTAATGTGTAGCTATCTCTATCCATCTATATCCCCTACTTAACCAGGTTTCCCTCACAAAAAGCAGCAGTTAAGAGGGTCACATACCAGCTGTCGTATGTATTCCTGAATGGAGTTTGGATAAACAAGCACAGTGATTGCAACCAAGGTGTTCAGGGCAAAATCGAAGATCTGGTAACAGAAGAACGGGATGATCCAGGCTGCATGTTGCTAACAGAACAGAAAACAGAAGGTTAATGTGCCCAATACACAGCATCATTCTGTTAAATTCAAATACAGATTTTCTTAATTTAAAAGGACATGGAGAGACTGAAATTCATTAAACCACATCATGATGGCAACTGGTAAGCCAAGCAGAGGCAGTCAACAAACAAGCTTCAATGAACTGGGACTACAATACTGGTTTTACTGGTATTCCTAGTACCAGATGATATTAATGAGAAATTTAAACTTTCAAAGATTCTTAAAGAAAACTGGAAATAATCACTTCCTACTACTTATAGGCAGCTGCACAGATGACACAGCTGAGGGACTGAGGAAAAGGCCCAGTATCTCACTCACTACATGCTGCTTACCTTATATGCCCCGTAAGTAGCCATTGCACATATCAGGATCATGAGAAGAGAAATCGCAATAGCAATGCACATGTCTGCCAAAAGTTTAAAAAAAAAAAAAAGACAATCAGTACTAGGATAAACTGTTTGAATACTTTGAGTCTCTTCTCAAAGATATTTTGCTCATAAAACAATTATAAGTAAAAACCTTACGTTATGCAAACCCCCAGAGTTCTTTCAAAATTTCAAAAGATAATTGCCAATAAAGTGTTCAAAGACTTTCTTCTAAGACACATAAATGATTATAGATAAGAAGATATTTCAAAATAGGGAAAGAGATATTAGTTACAGAGTTTGGTTTTCTGGTCCACTGAATTATACAAAAAATGAATTAGGCATTATTTTATAAACATAAAGGAATCTAATTGTTATTTTATAAGCTCCTATGTGCCTCATGGCTCTAATGAAAACCTTCCCATAGTTTCCCATCTCATTTGAAAGAAAATCTTAATTTCTGATCACAGCCATGATCCTGTTTATTCCAGGGTGTGCCTTCCTCTCTAATCTCGCCTCACCTTGTCTATACCCTCGTGCTCAGTCTAAACCATGTGGTTCATTAGACACAACAAATCATGCCAGCTTAGGGCCTGGCACTGGCTGTTCCCACCGATAAATAGAAACTCCACTCATTGTTGCACGACCAGTTCCGCCTTTGTAGTCACCCATTCAGGTCTCAGCCCCCCTGAATATTCCGGCTAGCCAGGTCTCCCAATCACTATCACATTGCTGTGGCATTTTCTTTAGCACACATGTTACTGCCATCTCATCTGTATTTGTTATTTGTATACTGTCTGCTTCCCTCTGCTAGAAAAGCCTTCCTGATGGGAAGGACTATCTGTACCTTGTTCACCACGACCCCAGTATCTAGGTGAGAAATGTCCCACACAGTAGTAAGTAGTCCCTAGACACATGTAGGTATTAAGTGCCTAAAACGAGGCCAATGTGAACTGAGATGTGCCGTAAGATTAACACATACTCCAGATCTCACCCTGCACACGGATATGCTGAAATATTATTTGATATGAGTTAATTAACATTAATCTCACCTGCTTCATTTAACCTTTTTGAAGGTTGCTACTTGAGAATTCAAGTTACAGATGTGCTCACATATTTCTATAGCTAAGCATTTATTCACATCATATTTCCCTATCTTTAGGAGACTCTGAAGGATGGGATGACTAGGTTTCTAAAGGCCATATGCGTGGTTACCATCAGGCTGAGAGAGCACAAAACCGGTGCAGTAAAAAGCATCTGTATAGGTTTTATGACATTTTGACGCATATCCAATATAGTCTTCCTAACTCTGAGGTAAATGCTACTGTTCCCACTGAACAGATTATAGAACTAGGCTTAGAGGTTATATAACATGCTGAGATTGTATTTGCATAAAAAGGCTGAACCGTGACTAATTCTCCTCTTATGATTTCAAATCTGGGCTCTTTTTACTGTACTGTGTTGCTTCTTTCTACCTAAGCTTTGAATACAGACCAATAAGCCACCTGGGCTGCTGATGCAAGGGAAAACAGTCGAGAGTTAGAACCCTCCTCTCCGTAGCCTCAGTTTCAGGAACGAGACTTTTGGGAGGGGGTTTACAAACAGGAGTACGGGATAAAGGTATAATCTAGGGCACACATGCAGGTACACCAAAAAGGCCCATTTGCCATCTTAAAAAAAGTGAAGGCTCGCCGGGCGCGGTGGCTCTGAAAAAGAATAACATAAAAAGAAGAAAAATGAAGGTTACAAGAACATCAGAGGATGATCAGTGCTACTGACTACTTCAAAGAGCATGGACAGGCAGGTGGCTCATGCTTGTAATCCCAGCATTTTGGGAGGCCTAGGCGGGAGGACTGTTTGAACCCAGGAGTTCAAGACCAGTCTGGGCAACATAGCAAGACCTCATTGCTACATAAAATTTAAAAATCGGGCCAGGCTTGGTGGATCAGCCTGTAATCCCAGCACTTTGGGAGGCCGAGGCGAGTGGATTGCCTGAGCCCACAGGTTCGAAACACACCTGGGCAACTTGACAAGACCTCATCTCTACAATAAATAAAAATAAAATTAGCTGGGCATGGTTGCACACACCTATGGTTGTGGCTACTTGGAATGCTGAAGTGGAAGGATTGCTGGAGCCCAGCAGGTCGAGGCTGCAGTGGCCGGGAGCATGCCACTACACTCTAGACTGGGCGACAGAGTGAGACTCCAACTCAAAAAAAAAAAAAATTAGCTAGGCATGATGGCTCATGCCTGTAGTCCCAAGTACCTGGGAGGCTGACATAGGAGATCCCTTGAGTCCAGGAACTGAAAGCTGCGGTGAACTATGACTGCACTATTGCACTCCAGCCTGGGTGCCAGAGTGAGACCGTCTCCAAAAACAAAAGCAAACAAAAAACCTCTATAATTTATTTCAGGATACACATTTATTTTATAAGTTTAATAAACTTATCTTTTCTCTCTTGTGAGGAAAGAAGTACCTACAAGGAAATTTCATGCATGCCTCATAGTATTCTTATGGGGCCAGTGGGGAGAATAAACTTCAATGTATTTTACACACAAAAACTGAGGCCAAAACTAAGGCCGAGTGACTTAACTACTTAAATGCACAGAGAAAGTCTGCTTACACATTACATCTAGGCACACATCAACAACGCGTCATAAGCATGCGATGCAATGAGCTGTATTTCCTGTGTAAGACTATCACCACAATGGAATGGCCATGGTCTGCTTTCTCCTTCTTTTTTTATTTTTTTGAGTCGGAGTCTCAATCTGTCACCCAGGCTAGAGTGCAGTGGTATGCTCATGGCCACCACAGCCTCGACATGCTGGACTCAGACAATCCTTCTGCCTTAGCCTTTCAAGCAGCTGGAACCATAGGTGCGTGCCACCACGCCCAGTTAATTTTTAAAAAATTTATTGTAGAGATGAGTTCTCACCATGTTGCCCAGGCTGGTCTTGAACCGTGGGCTCAGGCAATCCTCTCACTTCAGCCTCCCAAAGTGCTGGGATTACAGGCATGAGCCACTGTGCCTGGCTTGTCTGCTGTCTCTTTTCCCAGTCAGTGTCTTTTCTTCCCAGTGAACTAGGCACAATGCTACTTAATATAGTTCACAAAACAACCCTATGAGATGGGTGCTATTACTCCCATCTTAGAAAAGAATGACTAAGAGAGGGTAAGTAACTTGCCCAAGATTGCCCAGCTAGTAAGTGATGGATGAGACATTCTATCCAGGAAGTCTAATCTCAGAGATAATACTCTTAGCCAGTATGCTACCTGGCTGTGAGGAAGGAGAATCAGATGCAGTCCTGGTGGTCAAAGTGCTGGGGGAGGCTGGGCACGGTGGTTCACACCTATAATCCCAGCACTTTGGGCAGCGAAGGCCAGAGCATTGCCTGAGCCCAGGGGTTCGAGGCCAGCTTGGGCAATTTGACAAGACATCATCTCTACAATAAATCAAAAAATTAGCTGGGTGTAGTGGTATATTCCTGTAGCCCCAGCTACTCAGCAGGCTAAGCCCAGCATGTGCTTGTGCCACTGCATTCCAGCCTGGGCAACAGAGTGAGACTCCTACTCAAAAATAAAAATAACTCAGGCAGAAGTTTATTATTTTCTTCTTTGTCTAATTGATGGTTTCTAAATTCTATATAAGCATATTTTGCATAGAATGCAAACAAAATGTATATGAGGAAAAAAAATTTTATAGAAGTCAGCCCATTGTAGGATATACTTTAACTACCTCATAGATCTTAAAAGAAACATACAAATAGACAAACTCAAGGCTTTAGTAAAGCAGGCACTGTGGCTCAAGCCTGTAATCCTAGCACTTTGGGAGGCCGAGGCAGGAGGATTACTTGAGCAACTTGGTGAGACCTTGTCTCTACAATATATCAAAAAATTAGCCAGGTGTAGTAGTGTGCGCCTGTAGTTCCAACTACTTGGAAGGCTGAGGCAGAAGGATCGCCTGAGCCTAGCAGGTCAACGCTGCAGTGGCCGTGAGCGTGCCACTGCACTCCAGCCTGGGTGACAGAGTGAAACTCTGACTCGAAAAAAAACAAAAAAATTAATATAACGTACATAAAGAATAATTGGCTGGGCATGGTAGCTCATGCCTGTAATCCCAGCACTTTGGAAGGCGGAGATGAGAGGATTGCCCGAGCTCAGGGGTGTCAGACCAGCTTGGGAAAATTGGCGATTTCGTCTCCACATTAAAAAATTAGCCAGGCGTGGTAGCGGGTGCCTGTAGTTCCAGCTACTGGGAAGGCTGAAGTGGAAAGAACACCTGAGCCCAGCAAGTCAAGGCTGCGGTGGTCATGAGTTTGAGTTTGCCACTGCACTCCAACCTGGGCAACACAGTGAGACTCCAACTCAAAAAAAAAAAAAAGAATAACTGTAATGAGAGTTCCCATTCTGGGGGGGGGGGAAGGTTCCTAGACTAAATTTTACAATCAAAATGTAACATCTATATATTTTTCAAATACTATAAAACTCAGATAAATTTAAAATGTATAAATAAAAGGAAAGACATAAAATACAGTATCATCACCACTCAAAAGATATTATTTACCATAAGAATGTTCATTTGAGATGACATTTTCAAAACTCTATTCCTATAAATGATTAAACCAATCACACTGAACAGGCTGCAGATATCACAAGAATGTGAAATAGTTTAGGCAGACTCAAAGTGTAAATCAAATAAAAAGAGCAGATAAGATAAAATGAGTCAGTCTATACCTTATCTCCCAGCAATCTAGGGTACCTGTTAAAGTCTCAGAAAGAATGTGCAGCATATCATGATTGACTATGAGTTATTATGAGGAATTAAAACTTATTTATAGCTGGCACAGTGGCTCATGCCTGTAATCCCAGCACTTTGGGAGGCCAAGGTAAAAGGATTGCCTGATGCCTGAGTCCAGGGGTTTGAGATGAGCCTTGGCAACTTGGTGAGACCTCATCTCTACAATAAATCACAAATTAGCTGGAACCACATGTGTGAAAGGCTAAGGCAGAAGGATCACCTGAGTCCAACAGGTAGAGACT